ACTGCTTACTTCTACTTGAATTGATAACTTACGGTATCTCGTTACTGTCCGAAAAGATCTGTAACTGCACCGTGGTGAGACCTGGTGAGAAGAGAGGGGCTATGATCCAATGATTAGTTAGTCTGTCCCCAAAATTTCGATGATGAGTTACAATTCGCTTCCTATTAAACCGCTACTGACAGTGGTCAGATTATTTTGCTGTCAGCTCTCCTGTACTATTTTATTCGGAAATTAATGTCGTATTTGTAATTTCACTTTTCTTGTTTATCTTTCAGCAGCAGTTTTCTTTATTTCGAGTTGCCTTTTGCAAGATATTGTAGAATACTTCAGAGCTCACTTTAGGCAAATCTGTTCAATAAACTTCAATTCCAATATAAATTATGTTTGCGACGAATCCTACACGTCAGAGTTTCAGATGTTTAAAAAGCAATTTCGAAAAGTGTACTCCATCAAACTCAAACTCGAGTGTAGTGCTTAGCAAACGGCTCGAAGCAATGAGGACGTATGGAGTCAGTTCATAAAGTTTAATCCAAGCTTGGACACTTTTGCTTAAATTTAAAGGCGCTCGTTATTTTCGCAAGAAGTCCGCGCAACACAAAGATATTGCAAGTCTTGTGTGTTAATGCTACTTCATATCGGCAAAGGAAAACAGACTTTTTAAATAGCATTAGGAAAAATGATTTGAACATTTTGCGTTTTACATTTTTTGCCTTCTAGCGCTAAGCTATAGCCATGTTTCGTTCATACCTTAATAACCGATTTACCAGTAATGTTTAATTTGGTTAATATTGTACATGGAATCCCGCTGACGGGTGAATACCGATGGCACTGATCGATAGAACTGAGATACAGGAGAAACGAAGGGCCTGCATGGTGTGTTGATGAATGCGTTAGCCCCCAAAAGGATAAAACGCGTTCGTTCCCCACTGCAGACACCTGCGGTCCGGAGTTTTGCAAATATCTCAGCACCATTGTGATTGCACATAAAGCTTTCTGGTTTCAATGGTTTACTAACATCAGTAGTATCTGTATCACCAGTATTTCGGTGATTCATTGAGAAAGAGCGCCAAAAAATTTCATTACCCACGTTACCACAGCTAATGTGTAGGAACCGCTTACTCGAGAGACATAAAGAGCATCACAGCTTTAGTATAAAGCCTCTAATCCTCACACTCTTTAGCGCGAAATTTGTAAGCAGCCGATCGGATGTCATATTAATTTTGCTCATGCCTGCGTTCCCAGGTGGAAATATCGAACATGCCTTTATTCTGGGAAATGCTACTGCGGGGTTGGACATTCACTGTACGACAAAATACTCTTCAGCTACAGTTAGGCAGTAAAGCAATGGAGGTTCATGGATATGAAGACAATGCGTAATTGACTCAATATTAATTCGATTTTGTCGTGCAACTAAGCGTATCACCTGTAAGAAAATTAATCATCGGATGAAAGCGAGATCTTACTAGTAATGTATTCATTCGCACTGTTGCACAAAGCAATTGCTCAGTAGATTCTACCTGTTTGAGGGACGAGAAACGTTTGGTACCAGACTTTTGATATTCCGAGATTTTTTCCAATGCTTTCTGATGAGAAACACACAGGTAGCTCACCAAACACTGTCATGGGTTTTGATATATTACCTTGTTCCGAAAGGGCGCGTGTGGCGCAGTGGTTGGAGGCGCCACTGCAACACACCTTTGGAATCGATCCCTGCGCCCATGGTCCACCAAGCGTTCCATCACTCCGGGATGGGCAAATTGGTCCCAGACTTGTCTGGGAGGACAGCAGCACTGGCTCGATACATCGGTAGGCCACCACGAGTCACCATTATAGAGGCCAGTTATGCATTCAATCACATCCAACGATACTTAGTGAAGTCGAATGAACGGCCCACCCTCAGGGATTGATTAACGCCAACAGCTTCATCTTTTATTCTTTTATCCTGCTCGGAAATTAATGACACATTTCGACATATATCTTTAAAGTGATATATGATATCCCAGAACTAACTTTATTAATGGGAACGACAATCGCTTCAGTCCACACGCCTTTGTGAACAAGAAAGAACCTCATTTGCAAAACTTGCATAAAATTCTTCAGCTCTGCAAGCAGCGAATTCGCTGAAGGCAGTTTCGGCCACATCTTCGTTTCTAATGCCTTCGGCAATATGAAGTTCTCGAAATGCTTGAAGAAGTGCTAGTGGATAGGCGAGGGGTCTAGAGAGTGTGGTGAATAAAGGAGAGTTTCCCATTCTAGCCCGTTGAACTTTTGTGGCATCGGAAGTGCGACGAGTGTTCGGACACTGTCATGAAGAAAAATTGGAAGCTTTCTGTTGACAACTGAGGGGCAAATCCAGTTGAAGTTCCTGGTGCCATTGATGGATTATCTCGATGTACTTCGCCGCAAGCGTCTCTTCCGTTTCAAAAAGCGGTTATGGGTCAAACCAGCTGTGGACCAACAAAAAGTCGGAATGACCGCCTTTAAGTTCAAATGCGGTTTGAGAAAGGCTGTAGAGGTTCATCTCCGTCCAAGCAGTGAGCTCAAAATCGCCGGTTATTGTGGGGGATCCATTTCTCATCGCACGCCATATTACGGTCAAGAATAGCTCTTGCTGCGGTGAAGGAGCATCGACGATGCCGCATACTGGGCTATTTCACGAGTTGTTAAACAGTTGTGGGTCTATTTGCCTCCAACAAACCCTTCAATTCATTGTCGTCAATGGAACAAGGACGTCGCCGACTTCCTTCAATTTCAAAGTCGAATTAGCCACAAAAAACTTTTCTAAAGTGACATTGCACTGGGCCTTCATTACCACTTCGTTGGCTTCATTTCTCACTGAGGCTTCGAGTCGTTTGCGTAGCGTATGACCGAGTATGGATTCATAGAATTAGATCTGTCGGAATAGCTGTCTTAGCCCCTGAAGACCCAGCCATTAAACTTTGTCAAAACACAATTTATATTATAATCTAACCATGTGGAGCGAAAGAGCATAAAACGAGCTTTACAACGATGTGAAATAGTAGATCTCAGAGCTTCGGTCATTCGATTCGTTTTCCTCGAATTGATCGTCTGCAATGGTCCTCGTAAATTTCGTGTGTTGTTTCCACTGCTGCTTGAGGATTTCGAGTTTTTTGTGAATATCGTAGAATTCTGGTCGAGTTGATTCTTCTTAAAATTTTGGAAATGGCATAGCTAATGTGTTCCCATGTGGATTGGCGGAGAGGGTTGCGTGGTGGTCGAACTAGCACGTGTCTTTCCAGTGGCCTGATAGACTGCATCTGTAACGACTCTGATACCCCTCTTGCTAAAAGACGTGCAAGGAAAATGGGCCTATACTCACCGTCATTAATTTCCAAAAAACGCAGCCTTACAGATAGTTTATCCCACCTTAATGAAGTAAATCTTAGGTGTGTTTTTTAGGCGGTTTACGATCACATAGATATCACTAAATGCACATGGACAATTTCGAATTGGTACATATCTATCAGGCAGTTTCTTCTACACAGTCTTCTACGTGTGGTGTGGAGAGCGCTAGTGAGTGACACGTTGGTCCCTCACTTACAATGCGGGATCTATGTGGCAGAATGCGAGTCGATTATGGCTCATTATGACACAACGGCCTCGCCTCTACTCGCTCTAAATCCGTAAAATTACCAGTGACTATTGCACCCTCACCAATCATTTAAAGCAGTTGTGACTTGTACGAGAGCATTAAGGACTCGACTATTCAAATAATTCCATTGTAAGAAAACTTCAAATAGCAAAAAGATTCAACTTTTTGAAACCCTGTATTTCTTTTATGGCTTGGCTTATTTCCAGTAAAATGTCAAGAACTTGCTTAAATTTATCCGATTCGGCATGAGAAACGCCCATCTTGGTAAATATTTTACCACATTCAACCTAATCCCAAGTTTTCAATAACGACTGCTGGCGTATCCCGTAATGTCTTAATTAACCCACGCATCCGAGAACCATTCGACTGGCAACACCACTCATTCGCAGCACTTTTTGACCTACATCGATGTTAATTTATTGCTATTTCGGTCATTCCAGCACGTTTCCCATTTTACACAACTGATTCCACCATGCTTCCTGTTTTAATTTTTACATATGACATTTATATAATGATTACTGCCTCTTTTCTACCAATCACAAGCCTATACTAATGGTAGAATACCTATATGTAAGAAAAATTAACAAGATTCAACTTAATCCAGCCAAGGGCGTCCCGTATCCGACAAGCTACAGCCTGCAGTGTGCGCGCTCACTCTACGCGGATGAATTCTTCACGCGACGCGCTGGGGGAGGTGGGTACAACACAAAGAATGGCCAATCACAGATCGGTGCTGGCGGCCGACGCACAAAAGCACCAATAAGAGATCTCGTCAGAACCAATGTCTTCTATATGCCTAAGTAATAGCTGCGGATACAGTTGAGGTTATAACGTTCTACTGTCACAGTTTCACTCATACGAAGATCCATTAGTACTCGTCCTCAGTGATCGTCGATATTTTTGCAAGATTTTCATCTTCGAGGGGCGATTTAACCTGTTTGCCGACTGCTCAACGTTCCATTTCGTGTTGGGCCGTGTAAAGTCGGGTTATCGATCGATGTGGTCCGCGTCTGTGGTCGCTGTGAATGCCACGTCACGTTTTCTCTCTTCTGCTTTAGATTTCATATATTCTCTTACACTAAATGTAAATAATCGTCTATTTCATAAATCCGCTCCTAGCGTTCCCATCAACCAGTTGTCGAACTCGACTTCAATTTAGGGTTGCTCGCAGTCATTCCTTTATGTCTGCCTGCTTTGCCAGCTGCGTCTGTGCAATTTACGTGATGGAATGTGTATTACTGTTGCATGTTGTTATTGTCTCATGTATGCCGTATTGATAGTAAAAATTTTCTCAACGTAGTGAGATCACCTCAATGTTGGCAGTCTTGAAGTTGTTCCGTAAATTATGAGTGTGGTTTTCCCTTCAAATTCACTTTTATTTACAGCAATGGCCCGTACGAAGCAGACCGCGCGTAAATCGACTGGAGGGAAAGCTCCCCGTAAGCAACTTGCGACAAAGGTTAGAAGAGACGGTTGAAAACGTGACTTCCGGAAATGAATGGCTCAGCACTTTGTTGAAGTGCGAATTTTTCATGTTCTTCTTTTTCTACAACACTTGCAGGCTGCTCGTAAATCCGCGCCCTCAACCGGTGGAGTGAAGAAGCCACATCGTTATCGTCCCGGAACCGTTGCTCTTCGTGAAATTCGTAGGTATCAGAAATCAACCGAACTGCTCATTCGTAAACTGCCATTCCAACGTCTTGTACGTGAGATAGCCCAGGACTTTAAAACCGATCTCCGTTTCCAGTCCGCTGCCATTGGTGCACTCCAGGCAAGTATATTGCTCTTATGTGATTGTGGTTAAACCAGCGGTTTCATCATACGTAGATTCCTTCCGAAGGACTCTATTGGTGTATTAGCAAATATTATTCTCGTAATCACGAAAGTACATTATGAAAACACCCTGTACTAGTCGTAATGGTTTCCAGGAAGCATCCGAAGCGTACCTAGTTGGGCTCTTCGAGGACACCAATCTGTGTGCTATCCATGCGAAACGCGTCACCATTATGCCAAAGGACATCCAGCTTGCTCGTCGTATTCGAGGCGAACGTGCTTAGATGCAATCTTAAATCTTTGTTTCTGACATCTCGTTAAGTGAACACGTTTTTATTGCGTAATCCCCAAATTTCAGTGTGTTGTGTTCATCGAGTTATTCTCATCCATTAATCTCATTTTCTCAAGTTCAAACACTTCATCGTAATCATGGATATTCTTTGTTCGTAATGCATATACTGAATGGACAATAAACTATTCCGAACTATACATTGCTTATTTTACCCGAAACGTATTTCTAAATGGATAGAAGTAAAGCGAAAACATAAGACGAATAAATCTTCAACTCAACGTTTCAAGAACAGCTGATGTAGTTATTAACGAACAAACCCATAGGACACGGAGATCTTCTTGTCTGGTACGAGATCCACTTGCAATAGGTTCCTAACAACAGTCAAAGGTATGGGTTGTAAATAAACATGAAATGTCGCTTTCTGAGCAAAATCATAGGGAAAAGGAGAACAACAAGAAGTAATAAGCTATGAAAAAAAAAACGAAGAATAAAACTCTTCTAGATGCTGGGACTAGACAATCGTAACAGGGATGTTTGTGAAATGGATCAAACAAAGTGACCTCTGAATAGTTGAAGAAATAATAAAATATGAAGAACCTGACTAGAACATATTACTTGACAGTTGTGCTAGGATGTACATGAAAAAGAACTAGATAATGTTAGTTCAAGTTTGGTGTCGTCTTCGTGTTTGTAGAAGAATTTTTGTCGTTAGATTCATCATCATCCGACTCTGCCTGACGAAATGTATACGGGACGTTGTCAAGTACGCTTTCCACCACATATTTGTACTTACGACGACGTCTTGCAGGAAGTTGCTTTGACGGAGGGACTTCACCTCTAAATACATCCAATAGCTCTAATATTTTTAAATATGAGTGAAAAATGTCACCTACATACCATAACTAAGTAGACAACGCACGCACTAAAACTCCTTTAATGTATCTCAAAATTTTAGGTGGATAGCATAAATGATATTTCCATAATGTATATCGGAAAATTAGCCAGATACTGAATATGAGACATTCTCGATCCCTTTTAAATTCTTCCTATGTCTGAACATTCAGGTGACTTTGACAAAAATAATGAAATCATGAACTGCTCTAAGCACAACATTTCAACCATCTGCTTCTAAGTGTACCACAACTAATTGAAAGCCTAATAGTTGTTCAACCTCTGTTTATTAAAAATTCCACTTAAATGAAAACAATACTTTAAGGAATTTTTAACTGGAACAATAAATTTTAAAGACTCACCCTGACGGATCAACCATGATTATTTCGACGGGTTTCGGATTCTCGACAGTGATCATCCTATACGGAATAAAATTTGGAGGAGAATGATTGGACAAGTTATCGTTATTTGTTGACTTCTGCATTTCCTGCTTTTCAGCTCTGACCTGTACACCTTCTGGCTGCTTCGTAATAGGCAACGGCGTCTCTGTTTTCGGTTGTTCAACATTTTCGCATTTCACAGGACCAAGTTCCGATGACACTGATTCATTAGCGCTAGCAATTTCTGGTTGTGTTGTCACAACGTCAACTCTGTAACTCAACGGCGTGTCAGGATTCGCTGGATAATTCGACTCAGGTCCAGTTGAAGTTGTATCGTTCATTGCCTGCAGAGCATTCAGAACAGCTGCGTAATCAAACAAATTCAACGGATTTGTGTTTTCGCTGTACTTTGTTTTTACAGAAACAAACGAATTTTGGCAATTCACTGCATTCGTATATATAGCTGCATTTTCCACCACTTCATGGACTGAACCACAGCTCACAAGAAGCTGGCTATCGCTTGCAAAGTAAATGTTGCTTTCTACCATGGAAGTCGGTGTGTCATAGTTCAATGGTTGAACTGAATCCGAAGAAGTATTGAACGGGTTATTCACCAAATCCGCACCAAAACTAACGCCTTGTACCTGTTGAACGTTGCCTCCATATTCTAACACCCCATTGTAGAGTGATGTTTCCATGTCATGATAACTTATCTGTTGGCTGCTCTTCTCTCCATCATCATTAACCACTGGGTGGTTTGTATTACGGTTCTGATCGAAGACAGAATCATGAGAACGGTTGAGTTCAGTGTTGTTAAAGGAGGTGACTGCTTTTACTCCTTGCTCTTCGTCCCCCATATTAGTCATCTGGGAATCAGCACTGAGCTGTATTGCTGGAACGTTCAATCGATTGTCTTCACCGTCAAATTCCTCCAAGTCATTGTTCCCCTCGTTTATCTTTAATCTTCTGTCGTCAAAGTTTCCGAAATCTACATGAACTGAATTCCGTCCTTTCCTCGGAATATCATCCTGAAAAGCAAAGTAACAAAGTAACAAAATAGAAAAGTAACAAAAGCAATGAAAACTCCCAAATATAAGGCTATGTGAATAACTCACATTGTTTATTGATGTATCACGATTTAAACAGCGAATCGAACTTTTCGGCATATCACCCTGAATGAAAAGTAGTAAGTGCTAGAACTACTAAACAGTCGAAACAAGAAAAATGACACGACAATAGTAAAACCGCACCTATAAAAGACGAAAAGAGAACCAAAACCTAACCATTCTTCTTGCAGTTTCACTGTATACACTGTCTATAATACTGCAAATCTTTTGCTTGGCACGCTCTTCTTCTTCTGGAGTTAGTTTACCGTCTGATTTGGAACGTGAGGGCTGAAATGGATATAAGCCCACTAATGAGAATAAGTGACAGAAAACTTAAGGGATTAAAAACTGTGGGAGTCCTAGAACTAAAAACCTCCGCACGGCTACTTGCAGGGAAAGTCATGTTTAACCAGCAATCAGCATGCCAAAGAAGAGAAATGGGGAGTAATGACAAAAGATTGTTAAACGTTAGAACAAAAGACCATCGATATAAGTATCTAAATGGAACATAAGATCACAAACCCTCTTCGATTTTTTACGAGGAGCCTCAGGTGTGACAAGCTGCTGCTTCTGAAGCGACTCTAAGAATGATGGTACCGGATCCTAAAAAAATCAACTCCCATATGAATAAATATACGGCAAAAAAAAAACAAAAAATAGAGGAAAGAATATGAATGTTAAGTCTATGACCTAATACGACAGTCATGAAGTAATACGGTTCTCCTTTCGAGATTCTAAAGATGAGATCAAAAACAGCAACAGAAGATAAAGATAGAGGGACTGTGGAGTACTGCCTCAATTCTAAAATTAATCAGCACTCTAGAGAACATGGAATGGGTAAGATGAAAATGTTCCTCCTCAATACTTGGTCCACAGCACCAATTCATAAACAAAACAGGAAAGAAACGCTCATGTTCTTTCTTTTCGATAACCGATTAATGTAAGAATTTCAAGACCATTTCATGTATAGTAGTTAAAGTAGTAAATAAGGACTTCTTGTCAAATAAACTTTTAGCAAGTAGCACACGACCATGATTGGAGAGTGAAATCAAAAATGTTTAATTAACAAAAAAAAAGCAAAATGATAGACAAAACAAGATTGAAACAATAATGGTTGGAACTCCATAACAATTAATGAATTAGAGACATATGAATTTCTCGTCACATTTTACAATTTGTTATATACGTCATCTTGCATGAATTCCAGCGGAGAATGGGTTATCAGCTGTTTGAATTAGTTTTTGGAAGTTGAACAACATGTTACTATACCACATAGTTTTTCAATTACCGAATGACGAATGTTTGAGTTTGTTGAGTGAAAAAAGGAAAATAGTAGAGTAATCCATATGGAATTCAGTCTCATGTTACACAGATTTCACTGAAGAGAATAAATGATAAGATTGACCTCATCTACAATCTCTAGAGGTGGAATGTCGTAAGTGCCTGTGTGGTAACGAAGCAGGTTCAGGGCAGCACGTTTCATTCCTTCCAAACGACGACATTGCTTCCTGACGTTATAGATACGCTCACGAAGACGAAACGTTTGCTACAAAGATAGATAATAAAACACAATAGTAAATAAAAGAATTCCGGGCAGGATTTTTCGTCAAGTTGTTACTTAGTGATTAACGAAACCTGAAGACGTAACAGGGTGACGACCTGGGGCAGACTTTGTCTGGGCCGACCTCTGGACTCCAGGTAACTCTCTGGAACCATAATGGTTAAACCAGTAAAACTTCGAAAAGCGAAAATTCTGCTGGAGCCCACACAACTAGTGAGGACGGGCCAACCAAGTATGCAAGTAAGAAGACCTAAAGAATAGTTAAAGGTTCAAAGACTAAGCTATATATCTCAATCAAGTATACAATTCGAGAAATGCCAGTAGAGACCAGGTAGAAGCGAAGCACAATAATTTCTATAAAGATGTATCATGAAGATAAAATTGACTCACTTGCAAAATGCAAATGCAAATGGAACAATTCCTACTACTTCTAGAATGCGACGAAAATACTCAATCTTTTAACACTTTCACGATAACCATGGTTCACCGACAATTGATGGTATCTTTTCAGTTAAAACAGTAGTGAAAAAGTATAGAACACCACAGATCTATTGAACACAGACAGATTTTGCTTTCTCACCTGAAGGATCTTTACAATATTCATAAAATATTCCTTCGAATTTAAACTAGTTTGGAATTAAAGTTGTCAAAAAGTGAGGAAAAAGTTTGGAATTTTTAGAGTTGCCACTACCTTTGTGTGTGAAACATGAACCCTAACGCAAAAAAGAAAGTGATAAAAGTGTGCCCCTTTAACTCTAGGAAATCGAAACTTCATGATGACGGAACAAGTAAAGCCTTGCGTCTTGTAGGCAAGCATCTGTATTTTACAAAGGCTTTCATTTCAATTATTAAAGTTAAATTCTGAGCTGAAATACTCAAGGTTGAAAGCGCTAATTACTTTCGCACCTCACAACCTCACAACCTCAAATGGTGTATGGCGTCGTTTGCGTGTTAGAAATATCAGGACGCAAAAGTTTCTTCTTAGATAACCCACTAGATAATAGCTTCATATCTGGAGACGAATAGCTACTGTAGAACATAACCCTGCTAGTCGGTAACCCCTTGTTGGCAGAATTCCTTCCTTATCAAATTTTAAACTTTAAGCTCTCGTATTTTTGTATTTTCTGAATGAAAATAACCAACACTTTTGGATTCTGTAAGTCATTATATAAACCGAAGCGTTTCTATCTTCTAGAATGAACATTCAAATAGAGATTGAGTGTGAGATTTCCAGGCTTAGTGGAGCAAATTTATGCCACGGCAAGACCCTATGAGGCAACTATGACTACCTACTTCTTGTAAAAAACATTGAAAAGGAATAAAGTTCTTTATTTCACCCTAGCGTGTGAAACCCACCGAGCAGCTCTGGTGCGTAACGTGGAAGAGCGGTTTTTATTGCTATCTGGCAGAGTTACTGACTAACGGGATAATCGGTTATATAAGTGACACTGGCTGCATTACAACGACAAGGGATTTGTTGAGTAAATCTGTGACCTAGTAATAGTGAAGACATCCTTTTACCATGAAAGAATAATGCATGACAAGATCATTACCGTTCTCAGACACAGCATCAAATGTATAAATGTAGAATGACGTATAAAATTTCTATATGCGTTAAGAGCCGTCGATTCGTTTCCAGATAAATAACTGCATAAAACTCAATGGATTTCGCAGCAAGCACTTTCTAGCCGCGATACGAAAGCACTCAAAGGCCAGATTACAAATTGAACCATTTCGATGGTTCATTATAAAATGTCGTGCAACTCTAAGCATTCAGACTTCGGAAATACAAGTAGTTCAAGCAGTCCAAACACGTTTTCCATCCGTTCAGCTATTGTACAACCATCATCCTCAGGTGGTCGGATTTGCATGATGTTGCTATTTGTAGAGCTGTTACTGTCCCCTCTCGGTGACATCTCATTGCTGGTCTAACGTGATTTTATTTGAAATTCTAAGACATCTATGTTCCAGTATTCACAAATCGACCCCAATAGCTCGACACTATCAAATCAAAGAAAGATTTGTTGTTCCGCGACTACGATTATTCCAACAGGGCAGGAATTTTTGCGATTTGTCTATTCACTATAATGGACTATTCATATGCACGTGTTCTTATAAACCGCTCTTGTTGAGCTGATGTGAGATTAGTATAATTTGTCGCTGTTGTTGTTGTTGTTGCTGCTGTTGCTGCTGCTGTTGTTGCTATTGCTGCAGTCGTTGTTATTGATGTTGTTGATGGCTAGCCGAGTTCCCACTCGCAACAGAACGACTCTCTGAGTAAGGCGAAATCGCCGAAACGCCAGCCATCAAACAAACTACGGTCTTTTACTAGACCACATCGTGGTTAATGCTCCATTTGAAAAGGAAGTACAAATAATACGTAAAATAGTCCAACGAGAAAAATAGTGTCCTCGTCCATACATAGTTTAACGAATCTGTGCCTCCAAAACACCATTTCAATTTTAGAGGAAGACGCTGACCTGGAATAAATGAATTATTTAGAAATAACTAACCAGTTGAACGGAGTTGTAACATTCCTGGAGTGCGACTATCTTCAAACGATACAGTTCTTCTTCATCGGCTTTCGTATCCGAAACACCACTGACCCCACTGATTCTGACTACACCATTACTACTTGACTCTGATTCGTCCTGCTCGTTCATCTGAAAACAAATGCAAAGGCACATTATCATAATGCCGAAATTTCTGACATTTCAGCGCTGATCACGACGAAAACTCCCGTCGCCTGAGTCACGTGAGCGTTTCGTGCCGACCGTCATAACCCATCTGGGTCATCAGCTGACCCGTCTACTAATGAGTAAACGACTTATACTACTGACCTTTGGGTGGTACGATGATGACGATGGAGAGGTGGTAGGGAGTGGTGTGCCATATGTTGACACAGGTCTGACACAACACCACACCCGAGCCAGTCCGTGTAGCCGATTGCGCGCCAACGGTTATTGCGGCGGCGGCGTCGCGTGCCTGCGCTGTGCCACGGCCGACACCCACATCAGCTGCGTTCGCTGCCCATCCACGCACCCACCCACCTACCTACCCAGCTCCCACATGGGTCGTCCGTTCGTCCGGCCGGCCGTTCGTACCTCTCACTCCTGTTCGTGAATGGGAGTATGGTGCTGTTCAGATGTGCTCACCATCCGAGTTGTTGTTCACTTCTCGTCACATCAGTTAGTCACGAGATATCGTTCTTGTTCATGTTCACCTTCAATTCTTCCGAAAATAGTAGGTAGTCGCATTAGTCTCATTCGACTCAAGTAGATCCATACCTGTGCAGGAGTTTTTTTTCCTATACACTACCCTTTCTCACTGTGCCGATTCCAGCACTTCTTGCACTGAATTGACTTGATGGGCACCTCATTAACGAAGGTCTTCGAACTTTTCGCCGGTGGGTTCGACTGCTGCTTGTGGTTTTTCGCGTTTATGAATGTCGATGTTGCTGAAAGCTGATCAGGTTGATTCTGTCTGGATTTCTGGGTTAGCCGAGCTGGAGCGCCCTAACTTGGAAATGCAGGGATTGAACTGTTCCTAGACAGATGTATTACCTATTTCACAAACGCGAAGGCGGGTCTGAAACGGTGCCGTGTTTGTGATGAACAACATAAATTTCACTATTCTACCGACCCACTTGATTCAGCTCTTACAACTGTAAAGTATTTCTTAACGTGTAATGCTGTCGATGTGGAGTTCTTTATTCAGTTGTCACAGTTATTGTGCTTCGTTCATACCAATAATCGGTTAAATTATCCAAGTCAGCCTACGTTGGCTGGGTAGTTCTAACATCTGCTGTCTTGATTGGCTTGGATTTTGGATCATAGTCATGGCTATAGAATGTGTCAACGTTATTTCCCATCTGCAGAAGGATTGGAGTACCTACGCCATTTGCAGTATCAAATTTCCGAACAATTACCATTCGTAGAATGTTTTCGAAGGGAAAGGGATGGGTTGTATTTCCAGAATAATCAGTGTAATATTTTGTACTATTTCTTTATGTGTTAAGGTCAAATAAAGTCAGATTTCACATAGTCACGTTTTCTGCAGTTCTCCATACTCCTTTCTCTCCCTTGTTGTTGTGGTTTTGCAAAAGACGGCACGTTGAAGAGTCTGAGCATTTCTTATCCTCTATTTCTTTAAGTGAAGAACAACTTTTACGCTTTTCATCTGTTTTTGGACGCGAACTCCTCAAGGTCAACCATTCATGACTTTTACTCAATTTTCTTTCTCTTAACTTAAAACTTCAGTTGCTCTTTTTAGTTTAGATATCGGAGGCGTAATTGGTGTAGATGAACATCCCAACTAAATGTTGTGCTCACTTCTACTTTCTCATGAATAACCTCAAGTTTGTTTAATTGAATAAATTTGAGCAAGAGGGAGGTGTCTAGTCAGTTGATTTTCTTTTCCACTTTACACAGGTTTAATTGAAAATTCCTGTTTTGTTTTGTACTCCTTTGACACATTCGAAACCGTTATCAGCGATTTTGAAAGAATCGTAGTGTCGTCGTTTCAAAGCAGCATTTCCTTCTAGACATTTCAAAGATTTTCAGGAACTTGCATCCCTCATAGACAAACGTCCCACGTAATTCTCTGCTAACCTATATCACTTGGCCAGCTGCTCGGCATACGTTACTATCTCGTAATTCAACCTCTATGGATTGGGTAGCGCAGTAGTAGTGATTCTGTTCATTATTCTCACTGCCAACTTAATCTGACAGTGGTCCGATCCCTCCCTGAGTTCATCAACCCTCTCACTCCCGAGATCGGGGTGCCAGACTAGTTTAGAATGAGCTAACTCCCTCCAGTCAAAGTGGAAATGCTTTTAGGCATCTATCTCAGGAATCCAGCGAGCATCAACTCGACTAGCAATCAGAAACATTCGTAAAGAAGACCACAAAACAACTGTGTACTAAATAAGACTTAATCAGAGCTTTTCAAGCATTTTTGTTATGGATTTGTTGTTGAGAACTTGCCTCATTAGTACCGACAGCTCTCAAAGAGTTCCAAATATTGTTACCCTTCAGTATCAGGAATTGTTGCGATTGGTCTCGATATTATAATAAAAAGCGTTTTGAGTGTATTCAGATAAGATCGTTGAATATTGCTCAAATCACTTTTTTTATTTCTTTCTTTTCGAACCTCTTCCTTAATATGTTCATATGAATTTTTTGATAGACCCGTTTCTTATGTTAAATTTAGGCTTTATTCCGCGCTTTTCCTGAGCAGTTAGCCCTTAACATGGGCTGAGTTTTTATGTGTAATGTAACTCGTAATACTAGAATTTTTTAGGCCTCATGGAGGCGACAGCTGAGCACGACTTCAATGCAAATGCTGATGATGAGTTAAGCTTCCGACGTGGACAAGTCCTGAAGGTGAGTCTGTATGCCTGCTAGTTCTGATGGTCCTTACCTTCGTTTGTTGTTAATCGGTGAAAGTCCTCTACAGTTCACGAATCAAAGTCGACATTTGAATAGGCGTGTCTTTTCGTTTCATTGCAAGGTATATCATGTTCTTATCAAACCAATGATAAAGTATCAATCGTGTCTGAAAATTTGCAAAAGAATGCACTTCGACTATCGCGTTCTCATCCATCTCACTTCTTTTTTTTTCAATAGCTATTTTGCTCAGGTGCTGAATAAAGACGAAGATCCGCATTGGTTCAAGGCAGAACTTGATGGAGTCGAAGGATTTGTTCCATCGAACTATATCCGGATGCATGATAGTCCATGGTAAAAGCAAGCAGCTGCATTTTTTTTTTGTTTTTTGAAAGCATGTTTCTTCTAGTAGTTTTCTTTTCGTTTTGCTATAAAAATTGATTTATTTCCAGTTACTATTTTTTCTGGTGATTTTTTGCAGTCCCACCAAAACACACTTGGATCTTATCTGTTTTTATTCTTATGTAATGAGATAAATTGTGAAGAATTTTTCTTAATCACCTACAACGCTTTCCATCTTGATAACTGAGTGGTCTCTCTAGGACGCTAGTCATATTGTCTCGTGGTACGTTAGATGGTTTTCATGTTATGTGTTGTTAAGGTATGATCTATATAGCTCATCGGTTTTTCAACGTCTTCATGTATGCATTAGCACCTTGGTCTGCTCTCTGGATGCGGATCAGAATTCAGAATTCCCTCCTACTCGTGTGGAACAGGATCATTTCATACTCTCTATAGCGCGCCGAATAACACTGACCGAATTTTGATTATGATTACGTAGCTTCCGGTTCTCTAACTGTGAAAAGCTGTATATTAAACTGTGGAGAACTGTGACCCGAAGAGATGCGCGCAGAGTCAAATGAGTGTTCTTTTTCTTCTGAACCACATTCTCGTTGCTTTTACAAGCACTCGAAACTCGAAAACAATACCTTTCTGAGTTACTCATATCTGAGTTCCTGGTGGATACGCCATCTCCAAGCCTCTGTCGATCGTAGCGGTAACATTCTTACTTTACATCATATTTTGAAAGCCATTAACACTCCATGGCCGACATGAGACAATTGTGGGAAGGTACGTATTACATAGAGTTCGTAGCTTAACGGTTAGAAGTGACCTTTAACACACATTTGGTCCATTGTTCCATCCCATTCCTCGAGCTAACCAAGCTCTCGATTTCTGGAGTCTGAAAATTTGTATTAGATTTCTCTGGGAGGATAAATATACCGATTTATTATTTCGGTAATTATCCTGCGGTTATGGGAATCCTAAAAATTGTAAGTCTCGATAGCTCTAAATTAATATACAGGTTCCTAAATGGGTTCGATTATTGTTGGAGTTCACCTTCATTCTTTCTTCTCCATCGATTGACGCTAATGAGAGAAGGTAAAACCTTTGTACCAGAGTTCTTCAATACGTTATATTTGCTACTTCTTTATCAGGATCGTTACGAAGTAGTCATATCGAAGGTCTTCCTGTTTCGTACTTTTCATCTCTTTCTTTTTCACTGATTGTTGTTAAGGCGCATAATGTGCCAAGCCTATTTTCGACGTATGTACTGCCCCTGATCTGATCTGTTTACTCTCTTACTACTAAGTAATGCTCTTAACATAGTTTAAGTCATAATATGTGCGAGATTGCCGACTGCAATTTCGACTGGGCTAAATAACATCGACACCTACGTTAAGGCAAGAAGAACTGTGGAGTCAAAAAGATAACCAAACAGCTGCTCTTTTCTGAGCTTAGTCGTTAATCACGCTGACTCCTTCACCCAGATACACGTATGTCCCATATCTGGGTATATTTAAACATAAATTTGGCATCAGGAACGAATTCATTAATAAAAAGTAGCGTTTTATTTGTCTTAAGTTCTACCGAAGGCTGACCCTTATATGCACAATTGGAATTAGTCAGAAGCATTCTCGGTTAATGTAGAGTTATCTTAACGCAGTTTACGCATAAAATTTTCTAGGGTGATCCTGAATAGTTTTAGTAAGTGTTGCAGTTCACTCTTTATCATTTCAACAACAGTGCCTTTTCAAATCGAGAGTAACTTTTTAGTCATCTGCTTGTTACACAACTCAATGATGATCATATCGGACTAAAGCTTTTGGAGATAGGCGTTCTTATCCACTTTTAAATTTATGCCTTTCCTATCATTCTCGTGAAGTTATTAGTCATATTCCTTTTCGTTGTCGATAACCATGTCTTTTGAGAAATCAATTTCAGACTAGACGTTCGATCGATGTGATCTATTTCTTTGTAATATTCTCCACTGGGAATCCTATATCCATAGTTGAGGAAGGATTCTGAAATTGTAGTGATCATGAATGGCGTTTGTCTTCATGAGAAACTAAGATAATTTCTTACTTTGTGTGTCCCATTCAAATCCTTGTGAATTTCTTCAATTGTTTCTCAGATGCCCATCTTTGTGTTGGATTCACCCATGGCGACTTTTTGAAGGATGCAATCTTTCCTGTAGAACTTCTTTAAGTAAACAGAGAATGCCTTGGTCTCATATTCCTCATAGTTTAAAATTGGGAGGTAGACATTTAATATTGTTAAAGTCGGCCTGGGTCCAAATTTTTTCAAACCTAATTATTTGGTTTCTTTCGTTTGTTGTTGGAAGAGATCGATATTCATAAGAAACCCTATATTTGGGAGAACACCCACTTTAACCACATGTCTTGAGGAAGATTTTGTAGCGATTAGATTAGTGGAATACAGTCTACGTATATGCTATCGAAGCCTCTAATGTACCCATGGTTATGTATGTGAATGCTCTAGATTTCTAAAGAAATCTTCTAACGCCTTTAGGATATACCCTCGTCTCGAAGGAAGTACATTTTTCAGTCCTCGTTTAACACTTGTCTACTAATTTATGAAGTGTTGTGTAGCCTTGCCGCGAATTCGCCTTAAATTCCTTCATCTAAAAACAAGTTGTAGATTCTGCTGTCCTTGCCCGAAGACAGAGAAAAGAGTTCGCTTTTTTGTTAAGTTTCGTTTCCGGCTTTGCTCGTTGTTACCGATTGTACTTCTTTTGGTTCTGACTACGTCATTACTAGTATTGTCGTCGACTTCAATCTTTCATTATAGGTATCTTGGGAAAATTTCGCGATTGGATGCTGAAATATTACTGAAGAAGCAAGGAACCCGTGATGGCAATTTTATTGTTAGGCAGTGCGAAAGTTCTCCTGGTGACTTCAGTATATCTGTCAAGTATGCTTAATATTAGTGCTTTTCTGCTTTTTTAAAAATAACCAACTGGTTTTTGTGGGTTGAACATCTGTTGTGTAACAAATTAAGGTTAAATTGTGAGGGCAAACGTCTTTACTCAACTGGTGAGGATTCGCGAATCGCGTTCGCTGTGAGGGTTCGAAAATACAGCATAGATGGATTCGTCGTCGATCTTAAGCAACTGTGATTTATGAGGCAGATGCGAAGCCTTAAACTAGCTCCGCATCTCATTATTACCATCACTACCACTTTTTGAACGCCTTTGTGGCGCTGTCCGAAAGAGAATCGCTCGCGCTTATGTTGACCATTGTTAGAGTGTATTCGCTTTGACAAAAAGGAAAAGTGCTCTATGAACGGGTAAACCCCAATAAGACGTGTTACTTAAATCGTTCAACTTTCAAACTTAAGGTGATTTTGTAGTATCTTACATACATAAGAAATGCATTTTATGTTGCATAGGTAATGATTTTTGCTCGTTGTTAAACCTGTAGGAGCGCGTGTGCTCAAAGGTAGGAGATGTTCTTCAATACACATGGAATCGATCCGCGGCCCTCAGACTCACTAAGCTTTCCATACCTCCGTAGTCGGCAAATTGGTACTGGTGTTCTCTGCGAGTGTAGGTAGCAGTTCTGGCTCGATGCATCGGTGGTAGGTCACTGTGAGTCGTTATAAAGGCCAGGTATGAATTCAATCACCTCCAACGCTGCTTGATGAAGTAGAATGCATGGCAGAGGTTGATCAACACCGAGAGCTTTATCCTTCCTCTTCATCCTTTTTAGACCTGCAAATATGGGTTGTTCCGAGGAAAATAGTAGTCCTAACAGGAGATTCGGTTTTTACGTTGTTGCCTTCACATTTCACTCCTAATTTATCTCGTTATTGCCTTTTTTCAGATTCGAAGACTCAATTCAGCACTTCAAAGTTTTGCGGGACAATAATGGAAAATACTTTCTGTGGTCGGTGAAGTTTAAGTCATTGAATGAATTGGTGAGATACCACAGGTAGGGCATACAATTTCTTCGTTTGTCTCTTTTTTTTTTTATTAATTCTGCCTCTATAACAAAGTTGTTGGTTTTTTTCAGAATTTCTGGTAGAATTCGGTGGGTTTGTTAGGCCTGCTATTCCATCAACAGTCGGCATTTCATTATTTTCATTTTAAATTCTGCGTTTTTGAAAAGTTTATTCTCGGTTTTACTCATAGACTAGAGGTTTCTTCATTACTTACTTTGGATGCTTTGATGGCCCGTCTTCACTGGTTGTGCCGACCCAGCATGATTTCCATTCTCCGGAGATTTGCTGGTTTAACCATTGTGGTTACCTGGAGTCCCAAGGACAGCCTGGTCAAAGTCTGCCCTAGGTCGTCACCACCACAGGCAGTCGCAGCCCTTGCGGATCGGAGGGAGATTTGCCACCATGCGATTAGTTTGATATTAGGACGGGGGTGGATCCTGGTATTGGTTTACTCTTAGCTGGTCTTCCTAATGGAAACTCCGGATTCATTCTAAGCTTTGGAGACCCTACTAAGAGAATGAATATCCTCGCCGTATATCGCAGGTCGACACCCAGGAGCATCTCTCTTCCTCGATGAGGTGGTAAACCATTCGGCGGTTTCTTTTTAGCTTATTGACCATTTAAAATATCACTGATAGTTTTAAGCAAATTTTTAAAGCATTTTCTGAGGAACTGTCTGTGAAACAGTTTTGCAGAACGGCGTCCGTATCACGTACACACACAATACTACTGCAGGATTTGGATTTAGAGACGAAATTCGTTCAGGCTTTATTCGATTTCAATCCTCAGGAAGAGGGAGAACTACCATTCAAACGCGGCGAAATTATCACATGTGAGTTGGGCAAGGGAGTTTTCTACTAGCTCTATATGTCTGAACTATTGCTTCAAAAAATTTGCATCTATATGTTTGAGAATGTTTATCTGTTTATATCTTTTCGTCCATTGAGAATATGGTGAAGCTATGGTTTATTTTTAACGTAGTACTTCATAATAAAAATAGGGGCGCAGTAGGTGGGAGGCGCCCTGCAGCAGACACGTGGAATCGATCCTCGCGCCCATAGTCCACCAAGGCTTCCATCCCTCCGAGGTCGGCAAAGTGTTACTAAACTTGTTTAGGAGGATAGCAGCATTGCCTCGATCCATCGGTAGGCTACCACGAGTCATTGCAAAGGCCACATATGCATACAATCACCTCCAAACGATGCTAAGTGAAGTCGAATGTGTGGCGCATCTCTTAGAGATTGATCAACGCCAAGAGCTTTATCTTTTTTATTTATAATAACAATACTTTGTAGCGATACCCTTTTATCTGCAAATCCTTTTTGGTGCTTATCTATAGCAATGATTCTGTGGTTGAAAATATTCTTCACTCATATTCTGCTCTGATTTTGAATCTTATTTAGTGATCAACAAAGACGATATGAATTGGTGGGAAGGATCATTGAACAACAAACGTGGCGTTTTTCCTGCAAACTATGTTTGCCCGTTCAATCGCTCCACATCAAATACGTAAGACAATTGGAAATGAGAGACGGAAGCCGTTCTTCGAGTCGTTTTTTTTTCCTTTGGTCTTGATGATGAGCTCTGACGGTGTTTATGCACCCACCACCGTTCCACCACTTTACGGTCCGTAACAACCACATGAGATTACCAGATCCCATACTATTTTATCTAAATTTCTTTTCACGACATCTTGCACAAACAATATTATCATGAATTTGTATAAATTGACATATATATTATATAGGAAGAATGTTGTCATCAATACTAACATATTTACTCGTCGAATATCTTAAGTCAGTTGCTGCAATTACTGTTAGTCTGCATTGCCACTGTTTCTTTCCACTTACTGATTTGCTTCCAATTAACTCATCAACCCACCCACATCTCTACTTCTTGAACATCAGTTCTTGCTTTGCTAGGTTGATTTCATTCTCCATTCATTCTCTGTGACGCTCAGCAATCCGGAGATGTGGTCGAGCCGTAGTTGGCCACAATGGTCGTCGCCGTGACAAATACCCGTTATTGATTAACGGTTAGGAGTGGGGGCGCACACGCGTTGTGGATCGGAACGATGTGATGGATTGGCGACATGTCTGGACTACTATCTGTACGCACTCGGATGTCTTAGCGTTACTGAATAGTCATAGAGAAATACAATCCAAAGAATTTTAATAGGCCATTGTCCGCTCAAATGCATAGATTTTTATCCTTCGCACACATTCACGTGTATTCTCGTTCATGTTGTTGTGCACCTCTTCGCACTAACACTTTGTTTTCTTTCCGTCGTCCGGCATTGCTGCTCATCAGGCATTGCGGTATATTCGTGTCATATAAAGAGTCCGCTCTCTTGCCTCCATTTCTGTTGTTTTAAATCTTTTAAATCTCAAGTTCAATAGTTGATCATAATAACTCACTCGTTCCTCGATGTTCCTCTAGTGTTATGAGTTCCTTAATCATTGTTTCATTTTGGCTTCTTTTATTATAATTCTCCTAGAAGATTTAGGTAATGTTTCCGTACCAAGTTGTTCTCATTACTTTACTAGTTATGTAGCATCATTCGTTTCAGTTGCTATTGCGTGGACCGTATTTAGAAGAACCACTTTGTCCGTGTTGTGCTGAACCACTAGGAAAATTTTAGCGTTCAAGGAGTAAATAATAAGCCCACGATCCGAATGAGCCGTGCGTTGTAACTGTTACTGTTTGAAGTTCTTTTCTTGTTCGTTGTAGTGAATGTCTAATCACTATTCTACGGCATTGATGCTGATAACTACGCTGTCGCATAATGTTGTGGCGTTTTGATTTCGGTTATTCTTAAAACTTGTGTATTTATATGCTTATTTATTTGCAGAGAACAACGATTTTTGGAAAAGCTTTTTCTTCTACAAGTATCGAGACAGAAATATGCAGTATTTTCTAGCTATATTGGCTTATGGGATGATAGCAATAAAAACGGAACTCAGTTTTTGTCTGGCAGTGAAATCATAGGTTGAATTAGTCGGCGCCAAAGTGCGGGAGTTAAAGTTAAATGCTGACTTATGATACCTTATATGAATCAGTTTATTCCAATATGATCATTGTGATTGAAAGTTTCCAGAGACAATTGACAGCTCATCAGAAGTGGACCCTTATAGCTTTTGAGATGAATAGGTCCATAGATATGTTGGAAATTGCATATAAGTGGTAGTAATGGAGTTTCTTTATGAATGGAATGGAATTCGACATAAAATCTTGTAAAAACTATCTAGATCGGATGCTTGAGCAAAGCTGGAGAAGATAATGTTCTTTAAGATAGGATATTTACAAAATAGAGAATATTCAGCGGAATGAACATCGGTTGAAAGAAAGTCGCTGACGCCGTTTGCAAGTGTGCTCTTAAGCAACTGAGTCGCGGAGTTATACGATATTTTGCATGGCGACCAATAAATGAGGCGTTGAGTTTCCAGAATGCGGTGAGATGTTGGGGTTTTCGACATGAGTCAGCTTGTTCTCATCCATCTTACCAATAATTGAGATGCCGACTCTCTAGAATGCGGTTGGTGTTAGGGTTCTTGACATGAGTGGGCGTGTTCCAGTCCATCTTAAAGTGACGGATACTCAGTGACGGTTTCTATCACATGAAAACATGCACTACATTTTTCGGTTCAGCAGCATATTCAGTAGTTTCCGAGTACACAGCGCCGCGTACGACACTGCGGTTTGATGATAGTAGATCACTCTGAGAGATAGATTCAGATGAAATGGATGAGTCTAATGATAAGGAAAAAATCCACGCATAGGGTTAATCTGAGGGAGATAATTCCATCATCGATTCGATAGGGCGCTCACAAATTTTCATCGATATTTCACTAGTTCATATTTGTGTTGTCATGGAAAAGTAACAAAATACTGTGAAACAGCGTAAGAATTAGTGCAAAGTGTGACTAAAACTGGTCAAAGTTCTCTGTTAACCCCTAGGTTGAAATGGAAATCCTGCAGCTATGAATTTCGCAACGAGCTTCGTGAACGGTAGACTCGTTCGAAATAAACTTTGGTTGTACGTCGTACTATGTTATTTCGCTTGACGTAAACTTTTTTTTGAAAGCCATTCTTCATTTCGGTCGATATGAGTGCGTGGTTTGTGAAATTGCTCTTCGCTTATTCCATCCGTAAGGTTTGGAATTGGATGTAGATTCTCCATTCAATGAGATCAACATCACTTTTCATTTAGGAGTTTTAACGTAGAGATAACGTACACGTGCGATTTCCTTCTGTTCTGAATTTGTTCATCTCCAGCGGAGATCTATTACGATAAACTGGTAATTGGCGGAATTTAAACAATTTTCGCAGTTTCTGTTAAAGGTCGATTATCCAAGTCAAAGTGGAGTCAGTATTCAATCTACAATTTGTGGAAATGAGTGCATGAGTGAATGAATAAATTGCTTCTCTTCATTTCGTGGCGGGATATGAGAGTACTGTAAGGGACTGAGCTGCCTAAATTGATGTTAAACATATGTGAAACTACGGTGCAATACACTTTTTCAATTCAATTCATTTGCTCGATACTTTCATACAAGTTCTGAGTTCGTTGAGCTAGGCCTAGTTCCTAGTAACTCAACGAGATTTGTTACTTCATTTCATGAGAAATCACTACCGTATTTGTGATGATAACCAGGCACTACTAGTTTATTTCCATCTGTATTTCTGGCTTTCTAGAAATTTCCATCACTTTTTAACATAAATGATGCTTCTGCAAGATAAATATCTTCACCAATGAGTAGTTTTTCGGTGCCGTTAGACGTTGAAGTACTCAAGGAATCTCGTCAACATAGAATAGTAAAGCTGGAAATCTATTAGTGATATTAAAAGAATAAAAGGATAAAGCTCTCGGCGTGGATCAATCCCTGAGGGATGTGCCATGCATTCGACTTCATTCGGCATCGTTTAGAGATGATTGGATGCATTATCTGGTCTTCACAATTACTTGCGGTGACCTACCGATGTATCAGTCAAATGCTGCTATCTTTCCAGATAAGTCTGCTACCAACTTGCCGACCTCAGAGGGATGGAAGACTTGTTGGGCCATGTGCGCGGGTATCGGTTCCACGTGTCCCAGTGGCGCCTCCAACCACTGCGCCACACGTGCCCTTATAAGTGATATTATTAGTGAAAAACAGCTAACGCCTTTTTTGTGTATATTTAACTCCTTCTCTTCTATTGGTGATATTTTTAATGGTCTATTGAAATGTGCTTGATAACCTTTACTCCTGATGAATTATTTTTGTATTATTTTACAACACTCAGCGCGTACTCAATCCGATATCTACTTTATAGCATTCGATTTCGTTTAATCTAAGCCGTGGCCTATTATTTGGAATTTTTTGTTGTTATCCATTACCAGTTCATGCATTTTCTGTCCTTTTCTTCGTTTATGTTTTTTTTCGTTTTTTCATGATAGTGCTCTGCTCGAGGTTCATGAAGAACAAGGTTTTCGTTAATTTCATGGTTACCAATGCACATAAAGGAATTAGATTTTGATGTTAAAAAATGTATGATAGAAATAATGCATGAATGGTTAGAGCACATTGTAATGACTAGAATTATTTGAAGAAGACGATTCGAGGCGAATGAACTTCAATCCGGACCGATCACGATTCGATCAACAAACGTTCTATGGACGTTTACGACACTTTGCTGCCATAACGGATCCGTTCATCGCTTTCACACCCACTACCGAGTTGTTGAAGGCGAAAAATCTTATGGATAGATGCAGGTCGCAAAATGAAGAAATTTATTCACTTTTTTAGCGGGAAATATCACTTCAAAAAAATGACGAAATTTTGTATGGCAACAAAAAAGGAGCAGTTTCCTAGCTTTCTATTAGTCGAAAATTCGATTTCTCGGCATCGGGTGTGCAGAAATATTCATTTATTAGAAAAATACATGAAAAAATTGTAGGTTCTATACGATGATTATGGCATGTTTTATCTTTTGTAGGGCTGGCGAAAGGCTGCCAGTTACGCTTCTGGAATTACATCGTGCTCAACGCCTCTTTCAGTCAGCGTTCCATCCAGATACCGGTGATCTGCAGAATTTTGCTGGACGAATGTGCTTCAATGTATGGGGCGGAACGATGTTGTGTGGTGCGATGATGATTTGGTATGTTTTTAGTTTGTTTTCCATGTTTCAGTTGTCTTTTTCCTTCTTTTTTTTCACCGTAAAGTTTGTAAACCGTGTGAATGAGGGTGCTTTTGTAACTTGTATGTGTAGGTTAAAAGGTTTGTGCCCTATTTAGAGCTGCTGTTCGCAATCAATCATATCTTTGTGATTGCAGCACCGCCGAAACGTCAACAGCACTTAGACACCTTGGATAAACTCTTTTTAGCCTATCAAAAGACAAAAATACTGATAATTAATTTCATGATTGAAATAAATTTGGGTTATAGGTATACCTTTTAAAACTCGCAGAATTTTTCTCTGCTGAAAAACCTCCTACTGTTCATGTTATTTGTCTTCTATTTCAGGTATAAATCAACTTCTGCCGTTCTGTTCTGGCAATGGGTTAATCAATCGTTCAATGCTCTTGTAAACTACACGAATCGAAATGCAAAGAGTGCTCTGACTAAACAGGGACGACTGCTGTTTTTTAGGACTGTGAAGTCCTTTGCTAGTCTACAAAGAAATTCTGAATTTTTTTAGGATCTCCTAGTGGCATATTCTACAGCTGTCGGTGGTGCCTTAAGTATAGCTATTGGGCTAAAACAATACTTTGCAAAACGGAAAGTTAGTACACTTGCTCAGAAGATGGTTCCACTTGCGGCAGTGGCTGCAGCAAACGCCATCAATATTCCGCTTATGCGGCAAAAGTAATGTATCCAGTTTTTCTTCGCTTTTTACTGTCGATTTCACAACTAATAAGTGCTGAGCCAATTACAAATGGCAGAAAAATGTATCCAAGGTGTCTCACTACATGTGTAACACCATAAAACAAATAGAGTGCCAAGGCATTGAATCTGTTGCTTTTATACATTGATAAATACATCTTTGCCTGCACTACGTGGTTCATCGTCACATTTTGTGCTCGAACTAGCACTTCCTATTCCATTTGTTCCTTTGTCTCTCTGCCATCATCCATGGAGTTGGTCAGATTTGTAAGTTCAGTTGCATCTTGAAAATCTATCACCCTCTCTCTTCACTGTCACGTTGAATGGTACTTGAAGGTGGTTTCCCGCTGAAATTCTGAGGAAGAGGTTCTAGATCGTTCTCAGGTGTTTACACAGAGAATATCCAGCAAGTGTTTCGGCTCAAATGGAAGTTTGATGTCTTGGGATTATAATTTAGCAATATGTGTCTACGAGGATCTGCAGTTCGTCCAGACTGCAATTCTGTCCAAAAGCCGACCAGATGATCGGAGGCAGTGTAATTTGGCGAACCTTCTATATGCGAGTGATAAAAAACAGTAGGCGCATGTAGTCAGTGGTTACAGGTATCATGCAATATACACGCGGTACTTGTTTCGTTCCCACACCGCCATGTCACAAGGCCTACTATCCTCTGGGGTTGTTAAATTGGTACCAGACTTGTCTGGGAAGATAGCAGCCCAGAACTGATCCATCGATAGGGCACCGAAAGTCATTGTATAGGCCAGATATACTTTCAGTCACCTCTAACGATACTTAACCAAATCGAATGCATGGCGTATGCCTCAGAGATTGATCAACGCTGAAAGCTTTATCATTTTTACTTACTGGTAGCGGATTGCTGCAGAAAATACGGTTCTAGCACTTTCGTTGGTAGGTCTTTTTCACTCACGGAGGCATATTCATAAATACTTGAGAGCGAAGCAGCACTGGTGCATTAGATTTCTTCCATTTTCGTAAGTTAACAAGCTCATCTAAGGAATGTCATATCATTAGACGCCATATTTACTGCTTTCCCAGATTTACTGGGTAGACGAGAAAGCCGTTATTGTTAACTGATCTCCATTCGATTATTTCTTGGATATATACAGATTGGTGAATCATTCGCATGCATCAGACGAAGGTCGCAAATGCATTTAGAACTGCTCTACATCTTTACCATTAGTATTTTTGTGTAAAGCACGTGATGAACTTGCATTAAAAGAATATTGAGAAGCAAACTGGATGGTATTGTTCTCTTAATGATCTTGAATGGAGGAGAATATGAGGACATGAATGAAAGGTTTGAATCTGTGACATGATAGCAAGGAATCAGACTCCGCATTGCTTCACCATCTTTCATCTGCATTTATGAAAAGCGCAGGGCTACTCATTCTTTTGTTCTCGTACCATGATTTTTCATAGTCCAAACCGTCTAGGATTTGTACGCATTCAGAATAGGCAGAATTCATTGATCCTTTGCCATTGGTGACGGCAGCTTATTCAAGAATAATACTGTTTTACTAGAAGAATTTCAGCAGTTGAAGATATTATGAAGGATGAATAAATTCAAGTCGTGTTCTGAATGGGAAAATATCGAGAAGACGCTTTTTGAACACTCATATAACCAAACAAGAAAACTACCCATACTCGTGAATACTAGGATGTTAAGTTAATGTTAATGCAACATTGTGAATTATTGTCCCAACATGAAGTCTTGCTGATAATCGAGTTTTCGTATTATCTAACTTCAGTGAATTAAAAAATGGAATGAATGTGACGGACAAGGACGGTACGGTGGTAGGCACATCCAGACTTGCTGCAATTAAAGCGATTTCGCTCGTCGTATTATCAAGGAATGTTATCGTAGCACCATGCATGAGTAAGTTTCAAAAATATTAATTAAAACGCAAAAGAATACATAACTTTGGGAAATCACTTACCAGTAGTAGATTTGTGACACGGACTGCTTCTTATTAAATAAATGACATTCGAATTACCATTCTGTGATCTGCTGCTTTCAACTGTGAGTGCCTGGTTGGTATGTGCTAGAAACCTATCCGCTATTCTTGTAGGTGCCCGACATAGATAGTGACTGCATCTTCTCGGAATCCATTCTAACGCTGTGCATTTTTATTTTTCGTCAATTGGTATTATAACACGACTGATGACTCTGCATTTCGCTTTTGACGTATATTAGATACTAATGACCTCAAGCGCGTTATTTTGCTGTAAGTCTATTGGAAGGAAGGAGACTATTTAACTAGTCATCGTACAAGCGGTTTATGAATAATACACCTTCAGTGAAGTGTTAACACACGCGTTAGCTGCATGGAAGAATGCTATGAGGACCATTCATATAACTAGCTTCCCATCTTTCCAAGGTCGTGAAATTGGTAACCGACTTTTCCACGAATAGCTCAATTCAACCCACAATGATCAGTGACCCCTTGTGTGAAGGCCTGTAGACGCGCAGCTCCGGTATATCAGGATTCCACCGAGAAGCTACTCGATCAATATAGAACCATATTATGCATCTATACATAGAATGCGAAAACCGTGGATAACAGAAATCAAACATGGAAACAAATCGAAAGGAAGAAATGCTGAGGTCTGCATAATATAAGACGTTGAGTTATATAATAAGGAAATTTAAGAAACGTTTTCATAGAGGACGAGTCCACTTTTTGTCAGCGACTAGTGATGCGATGGAGTTGTTCAGCTTAGCACTCTAAAACGTTTTCTGGAAGTCAGCAAAGTTTTAGGAAACTGTTATGTGTTACCCTTGATAGGTTTCTGTTACTTTAGTTAAGTTGTGGATTTTGTTCATGCAAAATAATCCCTGTTGGTCAACTGGTTAGGCTTCTAAACTGCTTAATAAACGCGATAGGAACACTACACTCATTGAGAGATAGAAGATCACACTCAGCGACTATATCGGATGATAGTTACGAAGATCTTTCGGTCAACATTACTGGGGAGGATTACCGTACGCGTTTTTTTCCACTGGTATATGATCCTTTCTTTTTAAAACACGTTATCAAGAATTTCGTGTAGTTTATGCCTTCTAGCTTCAAGGAACGGGCTCATATTGTCCATACGGTGCTTCAATAGATGCTTTTCATCACAACTCTGACTTCAGAACGAGAGATATTTAGTGGATTTTCTGTAATAAAGACGTGAGACGGGTGATATCGTAATAAGACGTTAAATCACCTATTTCATTTCATTGAGACACCTGGTAAGAATTCCATCCTTTTTTTGCAAAGTGGTGAGCAAAATTATTCATTCCTAAAGTTCCTGAATGTACTTCTTACACCGGCTCATCGTTGAACCAATCTAGTTTTTTCCTTTTTTCTTCCCTACCGTTGTGAATCTTTAAATTTTGCGTTTTTCTGGAGCCTCCTTCTAGCAAATTCTTAACGGTGAGGAAAATCCGAATTTCTTTAATGAAGAATTCAACCGCAGTGGGTACACTTTTGGAGCTCTCAAGTGAGCGCTCTGCATCGCTTGGTTACTACATGGTTAAGGCCACCAGAGAATTTTCATGTCCAGCCTGGTGATTGATTACGATACCAATCCAGGAAGACGGTTTCTATTTTCATAGTGGTTTTTTGTGGAGTATTTTCCATTCTTGCAAGGAACTTCACGAGCGTCCTTCATTCTGACGTTAAAGGTGCAGAAGAAAATTCACAGGACTTTTATTACAGATCACTTCTTCAGTTACGAAATGGATCTAAATAAAGTTACGGTGTACTATTTTATGATAGTGGTCTTCCTTTTTCTGCCATCGATTGATACAAAAAGAAAGCTAGGCGTGGCAGAATCTTCTGGAGGTACCATCAAAGGCACCACTAAATACCGGTATTATAATGCGTACGGCATCTATATTTGGCGACAGAACCTTCTCCTCATCTGTCATAAGAATTAAATCAACCGACTAGCGTAGAAATCTATTTCCTTGTTTCTGGTCTCTTGTAACGTGAGCAATTTGTGTTATCTGCGCACTAACTATATGGGAATAACGGGATACACGATGCAGTTAATTTAAATATGCCTTTGCATCGTTTCTTATCTGCCTTTTACTCATTAGTGGTTGCTTTCTCTAGGAACCATGTGTCCGTCAGAAACAAAAGATTTAGCTTCTATAATGCTGAGATATTTGCAAAACTCCGGACCGTAGGTGTCTGCGGTTGGAAACGAACGCGTTATTGTCCTTTCAAGAGAGTAACACGTTCACCATCACACCATGCGGGTCCTTCGTTTCGCAAAGGTAGCATTCTCTGGAGCTATAGTTAATTTCTTCGTTTTTAATGTTTTGTCGATGAGCGGGCGCGACATTGGCTGTCGTTTGGGCGGTTTCGCTTTCATCAGAGTCGTTTTGTTCTTTCTAAATCCTCCAGTTATTGTTGGAGACCAGGCGCATGAAGTCTTACGTGAGGAACAATGGGAAGTAATGAAAAGATGGCATTGTTCAAACGTTATATGCATCGAAACAAGCTATTCCTAGCCTATGTAAGACTATGTGCGGTTGGTCTCAACCAAATAACTGGGAGGCTTGCCAGGAACAAAACAGATCTGAAGAAGGCAAAACCGCCGAAACATCAGGTAATGTGGACGAATAAACGCTGTAATAACAACCTCGAGTATGGTCATCAAGAAAGCAGTGAATTTATTGATCAATACCGAGGTTAATAAAAAGTTGGTCCTGAGATTTGTTACTCTTGCTTTTTAGTTCTCACTCCAATCATAATGGAAAGACTGGAAAATTTGGCATGGTTCAAGCGTAACATACGTAGAATTAACATTCCAATTCAACTACTCCTCACATTTGTAATGTAGGTTGTTAAAGGTTTTCTCTTTTTACTAAGACGATTTTATTGAACTTTTTCTTCAGATATGGTGCTATGGTACCTGTGGGCTGTGCTTTGTTTCCACAGCAAAAGTAAGTCATGCTAAAGTTGAGCAAGTAGCCTAAACGCACAAATTCGCGCCAGCTTAGTAATCTGCTGGACTAAACTGGTTTTCCAAGCTAGTTATTCCAAAGCGTGCTTAGGTTCTGATCATAGCCAATAGGCATCTTCATCTCATCCCTGCTACTTTGCGAATGTCCAAGTTGTCCCCACACTGGGCTATCCATTGTAAATATCAAATTTCAATACACGGGTACTTCCGCTCTATATAATGAGGTGGTTAAGCAATTAATTATGGGTGCAAATCTATTAGGTTGGTCGGTATGAAAATTCAATTAGTTGCATGTTAAGTGAGACCTGAATTTTGTGCAGTCCTGATTGTTCTAGTGGAAGGTTATACTTCTCGAATCCTCTCACGCGTAAGAATGAAATTCACAGGATTTGAGGTAATTCCTATTTAGAAGAACACTGTTAGATACGCTCGAAATCGATGGATCGATGAAATTATTAGGCATTTAGTGAGAACGAACAAATAGTGAGTTCTCCACTTTTTATACATTCGTATAGTGTAGGGAATTTTCGCTTACCAACTTAACACTACTTAGTAACTCTGTGGCTTGTCGACCAACACTATTGGTGGTCGCAAACCTATCCTCTACTGCGGTTCACGATCATCGAAAACATTGCAAAGAAGTATCTAACCATAATATAGACATTTTTTATTTACTGTGTATTCTTTTCTTAATGACAAGGTATGGTGTGAAATATAACCACAGGGATGCTGAGATATTTGCAAAACTCCGGACCGCTGGCGCCCGCGGTGGGTATCGAACACGCTATTATACTTTCCAAGGGCTTAAGCATTGACCACCGCACCATGCGAGTCCTTCGTTTCGCCTTCCTCTCAACCATGCTTTATAGGCGTTAGCCATAGAGCGCGTGTAGCGCAATGGTATGTGCCGTCCTGTAATACCTATAGGATCGTTCCATGCGCCCAAGGCTTACGAAGCCTTCAATCCCTCCGGGGTTGGAAAGGTGGCAGCAGGCTTGTCTAGGAGGATATCAGCGCTGGGTCGATACATTGGTAGGCCATATATGCATTTAATTACCTTAGACGATGTTTGATGACGTCGAATGCATGGAGCATCTCTCAGGGATTGACCAACGCCGAGAGCTTCATCCTTTTTTATTGGCAATCATCTGTCAACGGAATGACCTTGGAAAAGGTGATAGCGTGTTCGATTCACACCGCAGACACCTGTGGCCCGGAGTCTTGCAAGTATCTCAGCATCATTGTGGGTATTTAACCATAGAACGTATAGGTTAAAAGGCCCCTAATTTAAGAATGGAGTCTTCGCCTAAGTGAAACACAGACTCGCAGTATGTCTTGGAAAATGGAAGCGATAAAGAAGAGGTACTTAACAAAACATGAAATTTTCCTGTTTCGTTGTTGGAATTTGCTCAAACACATGGACAGCTTGACGATTTCTCTTCATAAAGAGTTTTTCGAGCCCACGACACCTTCCGTCTCACAGGGTTTTTTCTGTTATGGTAGGATTTTTTCTCGAAAGCTAAGAAACCCATGCCAATTCGCTCTCAGCTCGTAGGTACAAGCGATCGCCGATCTTTATGGTTCAAAGGAGGTCTACTATCTTACAACTGCTACCAGAACGGTCCCAGCGTGAGTGCATTATATCGTAGGCTTCCGAACGGTAATATCGAACTCCTTAGTCTAGATGGGCATACCAGGATAATGATCTTCTCTATAAGTCGCAGCACCCTTTCCAGGAATGTCCCCAGTCACAGTATGGTAATTAGCTATTGTGGAGGAGAAGTGAATGCTCTGTTCTAAACGTGTTTTTCTAAACTTTGCTGAGAACGATTCGAATAACTATTCGAACAGGCTTACAGCTCCTGTCATAGTTAATGTTTTATATAGATTTGTCGCAATTCATGCTTATGGAATTAATAAGTTGTGAGCCTCGTACAGCGCTGTTTCTAGGCATCCTGTAGTACACATGTTATTGCTGGTTCGATTTCACACCCTTGGGCACAGTAAGCCCTTAATTCCTCCGGAGTCTTTTAGTTTGTAGTAAACTTATCTGACAGGATAAAACCACTGACCGACTTGGTACCTCGGTAGCTATCGGCAAGTCACTCTATAAACCAAAAACTCATTGGATGATCTCTGTGATGCTGAAGGGATTTGAATGCATAGTGCATCTTTAAGGAACTAGTCAATGCCGAACATTGTATCTTTAATTGCCATTACTCTGGAAGAATAACTGCACATGGTCATATAGTCACATACCATACAATATTAATCTGCTAGTTTTTTGTGAATTATTTATTCGTAATGGAGATTTCCACATTTGCTTCTATGAAGAATCTATTTTATATAGGTTTAAAAATATTCCTTGGGTGCTTTACTACTTCAAGCTCAACATATACACCACGTACTTGTCATCTGTTATGTATTCTGAGACTTATGTTTAAACTACAACTGTGTCTATCGCTATAGTTTTGTTCCACCACAAATTCTTTCTATGTTTCTTTCACAAGAATCCCATAAGCATTAGAATAGATAATGAAAATCGATCTATTTTAGCTCCATCAAGCTAACAACGTTGAAACGGTTCGAACCTCAAGCATATAAACGACTACTTCACGTGAAGGGAAATCTCGTCTATTTCAATAAAGGATTGTAGACATTGGGAGGTTGGTGCAAAAACAGTAGCTGGTATCCAACTTCGATTTCTAAATGGTACAGTTCGTCTCAGACAGAACTTTATTAATCAAAACTACCGTTAGAATCCACAATCTATGGGAAATAGTGCCTGGTGGCATAGAATTCATATTTGTGGAAACGATGTAATCGTAAAAATGCAATTTCTCTGTGACTTTTCAAATGTAGAGACTTTTGATAGCTTGATTGCGAAAGTTCACTTCCGTCAATTACTGACAGACGTCCACAGCTCTCCCCTAATGAAGACTCATCTCTCCGATGCAAAGCTTTCCATACTATATAGGTTTTGTCTTTGGAGAGCTTTTTGGTCCATACTTTTATGACATTTCACATTATTTAAGTGGAATTTCCACGTTTAAGCTCAGGAGGAAAAGCGATACCTCTCTTCCTTTATAACACCATTCCAACCATACTAAAATCCTTCTGGACGAGGTATGAGAGGAAACACATATTTATTCACATGTCCAGACATTAAATATGGCGTGAATCTCAACACGTTTTTCGTGTGGATCTGTTCCCCGGCTCCACTGTTAATTAAGGTTTTGGGATGCTGCTAAATGCTAGTTGTGTATTTTCTCCCTGGAATCCTGGAGAAAATTGTACTGCAGCGTTCTCATGTCATCATCATGGCCACCATCCTTTTGGGAATGGTAAACAGCACTTCCTAGGCAAACTTGCCACCAAATTGCCTACTCCGGAAATGGGAGACTAGGTTAGCTAGATGCTGGGGCGTTTTCTCTTCATCATTATAGTCGCCATCCTTTTTGAGAATCGTAAAATGAGAATCTTAACTTACCAGGTAAACTTGCTACCTATTTACACACTCCGGAGATGGGGTACTACGTTAGCTGGAACAGCGGTTAGAACATCGACGCTATATGCCTTGATGCACGACATACCACATTAAATATAGTTAAGCAACAAATGTGCTTCAAAATGGCGTACAATGTCACTGTAGACCATCCATAAATATTGCGAAATGTGTTTGTAAAAACAGTAAAACAAAAAAAAAACTATTTTTGCACCAACCAGTAAAATACAGAGCTAAATCACTGCGTTTATATATATTTGACATGTCTATTACATTAAAAGATATTCACATACATGATTTGTACATACGTATTTACCAGAGCGAACGAAAATCGCGAAGTGACATACGTACATCCCGCTATATACAACAAATCGAAGAGTTCGTCCCCATGACGCCTCTCTAGCAGACCGATTACGTACCTTTCTCAAATATTCTTAACAATTGTTCATATAAATAACAGCAATAGCAAAAAAAATAACACACACAACTAGATGATGACAGGAAAACTGGGCAACCATAAGTAATACAGATAAAAAAGAGCTCAGCTCTATTGGTGTAATTATTGGAAAAAGTACTCAAATATATGGGAACTAACTGAAAAAAGTAACATACATGAGAAAATAATACAGCAACTAGGTGGTACAATTTCATATCTTGCGCTCCTTCACAAGACGCTTGCAGACAATAAAGCTGAAAAACAATGTTCACATTACTGCGATCTTGAGAATATAGCGTATTCCATTTACAATGCAGATCAAACATATCTAAGTTTTTACGTTTTGAACTGCTTATAGAACCGTTCAAGGACTTACAGTCTAAGATAATCATTGCGAATAAACACGATGATTACCAATTGTAACTATGTCCACCGATCATGTGGGAGATTATGAGTCCTCGGAAGAATACGTGGTACGTGCTCATGCAATGGATAGAGGGTTATGTGCATTGTATAGTGCATGTAAATTCAACAAAGACTGTAAACACGTGACAGAGAAGCATATAAAAGATGCCTCAAAGCCACTTACAGCAAAGCAGCCCAAAAATGGTCAGGAAGCTACCCATGATTAGGCGCTCTCACGGTAAAGCCTAGCTCGCAAGCAATAAATTCCCGAATATCAAAAAAAGAACATAAAGAGGAAGAAGCCCACGCACTATGATGTCATAATTAAGCCCTCATTGTGCCTATATCGCTCAACAAATGACAAAATTACAAATGGCGTAATTACTAGACAATCACCATATTTTCATTTCGCTAATACACTCAAAGACTAGACTACCACAAAAAAGCCGATGTCCAGACCACTTTCGAGGGGACTTTATAAAGAAAGAAGGCACCTAATTTTAAAACCTACACGCGTCAGCCACTGAAGTCTTCTAGGCCGGATTAATACCTTCGCCAATTTAGGTAAACTACAACATCTCTACACTCACCAAATTGTCAGCTCAGTGGTTCGAAAAAAAGAACCCAGACGAAAAATAATGCACATTAGGTGGAAGAAAATATTGTTTGCTCTGGTTTTCTTAAATTTTGTAGAGACTAATGAAGACACTACTGAAAAAGGCTGAGCACTTACCCAATGGCGGCTCCGATGACGAATGTTACAATGTTGGAAACGATGAAGCCGACAACCACTTGAAATGATACAGACTTTGGTTCGACATCATAAGCAAACACGGTCATCAATTCGTGCTCAGGCGAGTTCGGCGGAGTGGTGAGATTTGAACCATACTGCCTTATACGCACACATCTAAGCATATATAATTTTCACATTCACGACTACGAAGAACTATTAACTATACGAAAAACTGTATGACCTGATTTAAAAAAATAGTTAGGCTAGCACACATCTAAAATATGTGACCACCGTAATATTTTAGAAAACTAAGAACGGGGAGAAAATCGAGCAAAAATGTCGAACTATACATGGTTTATTGCTAGAAAAGAATCAGTAGAGGGATTCAGCTTTAAAGAATGCCACTCCGATATACTTGGATATTTTGATGGTTCACTGGTTGTGCGAACTCCAGCATGATTTCCACTCTCCAGAGATTTGCAGGTTTACTCGTTGTGGTTCCTTGAAGCACCAAAGACAGCCTGGCCATAGTCTGTCCTAGGTCGTCAACACCACAGGCAGTCGCGGCCATTGTGAATTAGGGGGAGATTTCCCACCATATGATTAGTTTGATGCCAGGACGGCGGTAGATTCTGGTATTGATCTACTCTTCGCTGGGCTTCCTAATGGGAAACGCCGGACTCCTCAGTTTGCGAGACCCTGCCAAGGGATGAATCGCCCGCTGTACATCGCACTCCGACACTCAGGAATACCTCCCAGCCATGATAAGGCGGTAAACCGTTGGGAGGCATTCCGACACAGATGTATGATAATATATATCAAAACTACATTTAAATATACTGAATGTTGCAGTCGTTCATTATGATCTAGTAATTTTACTATTCCTATAAACAATAAGAAAACAACATTACCATCCTTAGATAAACTCAAGCGACGAAAATCAACTCACTTCGGTGGATAAGCCTCAGGTCTGCTACTCCAGTCCCACATCCAATCGGTGTTCTTACCAGGAGGCAACATATCGCGCACGAGCCTATACTTCACTTGCTCAAGGTTATCGAATTCCACATGTGGAGATTGTAGAGAGACAGGGCTAAAAGAAGCGATTGAAGGAACCAAGCAAGTTCATTGATAAACAGAACAATTATCTCCTTTCCAAGCATAAATAATGTGGTTCAACGAAGATGTGACGTATTCTTCGATAATTAGTTTTACCAATTTACCGAAACGTCTTAAATTGCCCAAACAGTCAATTTTCAAGTTCTTTTCTCAATGCTCAAGTCGAAAGCTGCTTCCTTTTGCAAAGTAAATTTAAAAAAGGTGTTTCACACGCTAACGAAACTACCACGTAATACTTAAGGATAGTCATTCATTGTTACGTAAATCCCCATAGGAGTCAACTGTGCGTGTCGAGAATACTCTCCACAGAGCTCCTTGCACTAATACTTTCTATCTTCTATTGCACTTTCCTTGCACTATGTGCAAATTGCTTCCTGGAAGCCAGCTCAAGTGCTTACACCGCAACTGAGTGGAAGGTGCTTTTTACGTACCTTTTTACGTTAATAGATTCATAGCTGAGTTGTAACGAATTAATGGTTGACAAACCCTCCGCAATTCTTCAAGTCTTTCTTTGATTGTCAACATGTTACAAAAACATTGACTGGAAAAGAATTGCGCACATCCCAGCAGCGTCTGCCTTAAGGGTGGTCTGCAGAAATCGCCATCAAAAATTTCTTCACATCTCTTCATGAGCTGCCAATTGCCCCTTACTCTTCTAGGTGAATTCTACTTGCATCTATTATTTTTCTCCTATGCTGATAGGTTCTTGAGGAATTAAATGGCGGATTTCAATGTGTACCTTTGAAGTAGCATATTCCAGCTCAGAAAAAAGGAATTTATGAAGCGAAATAAAGACCTTTTGAATCAGCACATGTTTGTCAACGAGGGAGAAGTTTATGTGCTCCGGCTGAACCAAACGCCGGATTTCTGGAGGCAATGAAGTGGCTTATGGCAGGGCTTCTGCTTAGTTTCTGAAGCATTTCAAGAAACGAAGTTGTCGAGATGCTTGAAGAAGAGGAAGTGGATCCTCTTCGTCATAGTTTTTTAACCCCAATTTAAAAAGTAGTAACGTGTTTAATCATCAGCCAACCACCAAATAGTCAGCATTGCCTTTTTCGGTGCAATTTTGGCATTGTGAGGCATCACAGAGCTTCAACACTGTCCATTCACTAAGCCTGTCGTCGCAGGTTGTCGAAGAGAGTCCTTCTTTCATCATTTATCACAGCACGGTAGATTAACGAGCAGTTTTGATTGTGTTGAAGAGACGCGATTCTTCAAAATGGCGATCTTTTCGCTTTCCATTCAATTCATACGAGATCTATTTACCGAGCTTCCACAGTTTTTTAATTCTTTAGATGTTCTGAAATAGTTGAGATGATAATACAGAGTTCTCTGCAAATTCTAGAAAAGTTTTGGATGTATTTGCTTCCATTAAGGCCTTAAATTTATTGTTTTCAATAGTAGAAGGATGCCCCCGACTTTCCTCATTACGAATCCTGAATTTGCTTTGACCACATTTTTGAATTCAGCGTCGCACCACGCATTCATTTATAGCTCCTTGGCTTCATATTTCATTAATACTTTTAGCCATAAGCGCTACGTACGATCGTGAAAGTTGATTGGCCGAATTTGTTTTGACACCTCAACTGCTAACCTGCAAATCTTGTTGAAAACAATTTGTACTATAACTCAATAATAGCTGGTGGAACTGCATACGAATGTTGCGCACTGATAAACAATAATATAGCATTCGAAAGAATTCACTGCTAAACTAAACATACAAAATAATTGTGAAATTATAAAGCGCGTATTAATTTCCGAACATAACTCTTGGCCAGTCCATTATAGAAGTTATAGAATATATAAGTTACACTCTCTTATCATCAGTGTTAATCCATGTTCTTCTGGTTAAATCTCCCGATTGAGTTCGAGACCGTCTTAATGCCAACACTACCTACACGTAGATTAATTATCTTAGACTGAGGTAAGCAACACACAAGGACCAGTCTGTTATGCAACAACATGCCGTTACTAGCCTATCACCATACCACACTTTGTTTAGACAGTCAATTCAATCTTCAACACTTCTTTAAAATGTGGCGTAGTGGGTCCACCTAGCAAATACATTCTTAAATATAACAGAGCAACTTAACGAAAGTCTTGGAGTTCATGAATCTCCAAATAACTAGCGAACCTCCAATATTAATAAGAATTCTGGAATTTTCGTCGACGTCGCTACAAAGACAGGTTAGTGGCGTAGCAACAATTCCACTAGGACACAACATTATCTTCCTACCAAACAACTCAACATTTCGACGACAACCCTCCGTTCCAATTCAGCAGCACAACTAAGTATCCCGGTCTAATTCCAGGAGCAACTGTCCGACTGATTATTCCTTATCGACTACCTACTTATTCCAATTGTACAACGACCACCTAGTAGTTATTACAGTGCAAACTTCTCCACTTTCAGTAAACTGTACAAATGTATCTGGATATGAAAGAAAAAAAGCAACACCTTTCCTTACATCAGCAACACCACGGTACGTGACATTTTCTGATTCACCATCAAATTTTCGAACGACTTTATAAAACCAGTAGTCTATCCACCGAACTAGGAAAAAACGCCTCTAACAGTGATAGAACTAAAAGGGTTTGAAACGAATAGCACAATAAAACTTTTGTTTACGAACGCACCGGCCAGCTGATAAGAAAAGTGAACGATGATTAGATAGCCATTCCTCAGAGGAACAAAGAGTTAGGTCGGTGGTTCACAAACAGAGTGAAAATGGAAATCCGGAAAACAGGTTCAATGATTAACAGAAGTCCCTTCATCAGTAGAAGTCCTTAGCTCTAGAGAAAATAAACAGTACCTTAGCCTCGAGTCTTTATCCCTGTGCTCATCAAGCATCGATGCGTCTACACTGCTACACAAGCTCGTCCTACTTGGTGCCAACTCAACCCATGACTCTGTAAGTATGACTAAAGCGTAATAAACAAAAACTTCACAAAAAAATACGTCTCTCAATCTTAGCTGTAAGGTTTATCACCGATCAGGCTCTCATGATTGTGAAAAACGTGATCAATGCGGAAATCCAAGTCCTTATCCATAGGTCACCTTAAGAATCGCCAAGTGGAAAATATGGACTACCTGGCATGCTATCTGCATCCTCAAACTTTTCAAATGCACCGATGCGCTTCTTCACATCGAACATCTTTGGTTTTGAGAAATCGAAAAACGACATCTACCCGCACTGAAATATCATCAATAGAGAAAGCAGTACAGTCCAATGAGGTCGAGGAGCGGATGGTTCACGATGAAAAGCTAATGTTGTATTGCAAAAGTACTGAAAGAAATAGTTTTCTTCGAAAATTTTAACGAAGTACAGACGATGAGAACGCGTGTACAGAAAACTGAGATGAAGGAAGGGATGAAAAACAACAATGACGGATCTTACAAGTGACGAAAATAGACAGTTAATAGTGTAACTGAGCCGTATGGAACGGAATGAAATATGGCCGGTCGAGACCAGTTATCCTGTCACAAACGCGTTAACATCAAAGCATTGCGAACTAGCCGACAGAACTCACCTGGTTCCACGAAAAGCTTAAAATCTGTAGTGAAACCGAAACGAAGTCGCCGTTACAGTTTCCCTCGGTAGTTAATGGAAAAGAAAGCTCCGTTCATATAAAAAACGAAAAATCAAGATAAATCTTTAGCTAAATGTATACAAAACTAGATGAACACTGAAATCAAGTACTTCCTAGAGAGAGGGAATCATTAAGGATGGATGTAAATTTCACTCATTAAGATGAACACTCATGAAAACGTAAAACGTAAGAAGCTCTAAGATGCAATTAAAGAGCAGCCAATGGCCAATGAAACATCATCAATGCACAATAATGTGTGCTCTAATGCATAAGAGAAGTCGTATACCTAGTTATTTGGCTAAAGAAAGTAACAAAAGACTCCCATATACAATTCCATTGGAATATTAGCAGAAGTTTTTGTTCAGTAGCAAAGTGAAAGTCCTGAAATTGTATCAACAGAAATCAAGTGCAACGTCAAGAAACAGGCATCGAGTGACATGCACTGAACTAAGCTGAGTCATGCGACCATGTAAGAAAGTTGCGAGTAGTATTGACAATGACAACAGAAGAGCGATTAAGCGCTCAGGAAATAATTCGTAGTAACAGTTAGTTAGTTAGTTACAGTGATAGTTCGAACAAACAGCATTGATGAGTTTTGACTCGTGTGAAAATCCTCATCGCGTAATTTACCATGCAAAAAACATGCCGTAATTACGGACTTGGAGAAGAATGTATGAATAAGATCTTAAAGACAAGCTTTAACCACACGATGATCAATAACCGTGAAGCGATACGTGGTATTCTTGACGAAAATCCAGCTCTATCAGTAATTCTATTCTTAAAGGAAACCTAAAGAATACCTCAAGCGAAGCGAATCACTTCGAAATGTCTGCAACCATGCTGTCTTTGAGGCACAATCATCAACGTCTACGTCCAAAACACTCGTACAACGGAACAATTAAGCCTACCGCAGTGTTACACCTCGATGAAATACTTAAATGAAATGCGAAGACACAAATTAGCGCTAAGAGTAGCCCGGTAACACACGCAGGAACGCACCAGTTGGCCGGATAGACGTGCACGTGACTGCGAACGCTGAAATGGCGAATGCTGTCGCAAGGCGCACACAGCCAGCACGTGACCAAACATGCGATACGAAGTCCCGGCCGGGTTGACGAGGACGTTCGTGCACGCCAATACCAGTTGTGCATGGTGTATACATGCGTGTATATATGTATGTATGTATGTATGTATGTATGTATATTATCTGTTTGTGTGTATGTATGTATGTAGGTGTGTGTGTAGGTGTGTGTTGTGTGTATATGATCATCTTAAATAATATTATTTGACACGCGACGTTGATGAAGGACGAAAAATATGGAACAATAACAACTTCTAATACTGTGCAACAAGTTACACACATGTCGTATGTGCAGCACCTGTTGAAATTCTATGATTCCATCGATTGATCGGCTGATTGATCCCAATCGGCTCCGGCACGTGAAACGCGTCAATCTTCCACCATTATGATTTATTCGGTAAAGGAGGCGATTAGATTCCGATCATTGGAAAAGAAATGCTAATTCGATTTCAAATTAGCAAGAAAAAAAAAAGAACAATGGTCACGTTTCTTGGTACGTTAACAAAAATAGGGATGAGAGTAAAAGGATAAAAGGGATAAAGCTCTCGGCTTTGATCAATCCTGAGGGATGCGCCATGCATTCGACTTCAATAAGCATCGTTGGAGGTGACTGAATGCAAATCTCGCCCTTGCAATGACTCGCGGTGGCTTACCGATGTATCGACCCAATACTTGCTGCTATCCTCCCAGACAAGTCTGGAACCAATTTGCCGAGCCCGGAGAGATGAAAGGCCTGGTGAGCCATGGGCGCGGGGAACGTTCCCATGTGTATTGCGGGGCTCCTCCGACCACGGCGCCACACGCGGCCTGAAATTAGTTATCATAAATGGTAATCGTTTAGGACACAAATTTGATCAGATGATGTTTCTCAATGGGAACGATAAACGAACGCGTTTTCGTTTGATGAATGAATGGATGGATGGATGAATTTGAAATGATGCTCCTAGTTGCAGAACATAAACATAAAACAAAGACCATGCCAAATGTGAAGTACTACTGGTTATAAAAACCGTTTGCAAAAAAAAACCCCAGTCAAACGTTGACGATTTCAGCATCTCATGTCTGTTTTAGGCATGACAACAATTCGGTGGTTGGAAAAGGTGAAAGTGAAAGTGAAAGTGAGCGAGCGGATCGCATTTCATCGAAGGGTTTTGCGATTCATGAAGCCACTGTCGTATTCGTGCGAAAATGACTGATCAGGAACCAGATAGAGAACGACACAATACTGTGATTATGATTATGATGATGATGATGATGATGATCATCATCATCATCATCATCGTCATCGTGGTCATGATGGACATCGCGCTGTGAACTCTGAATGAATGAGAACCTCAAGCAATGTGATTTGTACAGCAATCATCATTCGGACGACACGAACAGCACGGCGTTCTTCGAACAATCACGTACACAATGATCATATTTCACTGGAGAAAATCTGATACCACTGAACGTCTGTGAACAAATGGTGATTTATAAACAGATAGATATTCATATCAGTAATAAAATCATAATTCACTGTTTTTCTTGATGAGCTAACACGAGGTTGTTATTACAGAATTTAGTGCTGATGTTTCGGCAGATTCGCTTTCTTCAAACCCTGGAAAGGTCAAACTGACATGCGCAATCCACCCAGCCAAACCCTCTAATAACCCAAGTAGAAGAAACTGAATACACAAATTCTTCATTCAAGTGTATGTTAATAAATGTTAGTAATAACGATGTCGTGTTTTCTCATCAAAAGAACAATAAATTATTGAACAATGCCGAAGTTAAACGAAAGTCGATCATGGGATTTGCTTCATGATGTCCCAGTGAAACCAGAGGTAGTAAGTAGCAATGAGATCTACGTAAAAATCATCCTTCAGGCGGAAAACTCAAAGTCAGAAGAGAGAAATTTTTCAGTGCAGACGAGAATGATGACAAATGCAAGAATGGACTGTTTTACAGTAGTTCAATTAGCTTTGATAATTTATTCCATCTACTGTTTTCCTAAGGTATTACTATACAAGTCGTAAACGTTCAGTCAAAAGTAGAACAGAAATCTCAACCTTGTCAAGTCCTTACAACTTGTTCTCTCGGAATATAGTATTTACTGGCCATGATAACAAAACAAAACTGACAACATCACGTGATAGGTAAACGCAATTCCACGGGCCATTCTTTTAAGGAGAAAACCCAACACCTTACACAGTTCCTAGGATCGACTTTCTCTTAACCTCGGCATTGGAATATGAATGTGCCGTTTTCTTGTTCAGCAATCGCGAGGTTTTTAAACAGCATACATTTACTTCCATAAAAACACAATACAATACAACGCTAGCTGACGTTTCGGCAGTATCGCCTTCTTCAGAGCTGCTTTTTCGTGACTTTCAATGAGGAAGTTTAGAACAGCTGATTATAGTCGCATGTGTTTGACGACTCCACATGCTGTTTAAAAACCTCGCGATTGCTGAACAAGAAAACGACACACCTTACACAGTATTTGTACTTCTGCATTTTTTAACTTTTAACGGCACGCTTTTGCTTATAAGGTATTACTTTTAGATAATATAAAACAAAGAATATGAAGCTCAACAGCAAGTGACATTTTTCTCGAATTTTCTCCAAAGTTCGAAGAAATATAGTGGCGTCGTGTTACAGTTCCCAGGGTTGACTTTCTATTAACCTCGGCATTAGGTTATAAAAGCGTTGTTGTGTGTTTCTCTATAGAAGTAAAACATGCTGTATAACCTCGCGATTGCTGAGAAAAAAGAAAACGACGCATTTATAGTGGCTTCAATCCCTCAGTGCTAGACTTAACACTTCTCTCGACTTGGCGACTTACCATCAACGGATTTACTGGTACGAGTAGATGAACTCTGAGCTGCCATATGTTTTCACCCTTCATTTTTTCAATAACATCCTGACAATGAAAATGCTAGACATCGTTCTCGTTGCGAAATGTTCTTCATGGCAAATTTTTACATAAAAAAGGACTTACTTATACATGGCATTTTCACATGAGCTAAATATAGCAGCCGAATATGCCCTCAGTAAAGATTTTAACGACAATCCCAAAAATAATCCGAATAGTTCATAGTTGATTAGGACGTTATGTGCATTCTCTATCGTAATCTTAATGAACAAATTCTACAGTGCATCTGCTTAGATGCGTTAAGTGTTTTATATTTCGTTTAAGCGTTGGCCAAAGTACTACGGATTCTGGATGTGGCGTTTAGAAGGAAAAAACAGTGGAACAGCATAGCTGACGATGCGTTAATGAACAAAAATAAGGAAAACTCAGGATTCTATATAACGTGTTATACTTCATCTACGAATCATCACTCATCCAATGATCGGACCAAAACGAGGCTAACGTCTAAAATCAGAACTCAGCACTTCTTTTTGCTGAAGTCAGTTTAAAGTTCTATAGGAAATCTTCATAAAAATATGCAGATAGAATACTCAGCTTGGCAGAGGAAAAAAGAAAAAGCACTGACATATGTCTGGTATTACTAAGGAGTGCAATAA